TTTTTACATTGCATGTTTAAAATTTAGGCCAATTTAATGCGAGCAGACCTGTACTCTTATGTGTGGTTGTGTGTTCGTGTATGTTTCCATTTATGCATGTAAATGGCTAGATACGTTATTATAAATTTCTATATTGAGTGTGTGTTTTAGACTGCTGTTTCAGTGCAACAGGTGTGACCTCATTGTGGTTGCTGGTGAGCAGCAGAAGCAAACAGAGTCTGCATCAGATTAACACGCAACACACACACACACACACACACACACACACACACACACACACACACACACCCTCTTGCCTTGTTCCATCAATTTTCTTTCTCACACGCACTACTTTCTCTTCTATGTGAACCATTCTACGAGACTCTTTCCATATCGTACATCATTGTACATACAGTATGCGCTTAAATAATAAAATAACAAATAAAGATTTTCCAGTGAAATATCTAAACATACTTAAAAATGAATAATTTTATTTAATAATATGTACTTAATGTGCATAATGAATGTACTTAAATTACGGTTATTATTCTTTCCCCACAGGCAAATGTTCTTTTTTTATTCATAAACCTCAGTAAACTGTATTAGATTTATGTTTAAATCAAGGACAAACCTTCCAATGGGATAAGAAAAAGAAGGTTAATTACCTTCAGATCACAATATTTATTAGACATGATCATTATATTTATTAGATATGCTGTTAATCCTTATGAAAAGAAATGGAGCAAATGCACCAAAATGGAGTATGATTTTACACAACAAATTGTGAACAGCTTTTGTTTTTTTGCACACAACAAAGGATATCTGAAAAACTCAGATTGGAGAACTTAATGGCTTTCTGCTTTTCAATGATTCACTTTTGGTTTCATGGCCGAGCAATTGAAAAAGGATATTGCGTATTCACAAATGATTTCCAATGGTAATTAGAGATGCGTTTTGGTATCTTGAGAATACCAGAGTCAGTATCTGACTCTAAAAAACAGTAGGAACAGAATTCATGGTCCCACTTTATATTAAGTGGCCCTAATACCTGTGCACTTACATAGTAACTAGATGTATACATAGTGTGTAACCACAGTGTAAGTACACATTGGTACATAGTATCTACAGCTGTAATGTTTGTGTAACTACACATATGTAACAACCCACTGAATGGTATGTGTAAATACAAATGTGTAACAGGACATTGGTAACAACACTTTTTGGTAATGAAAGTACAAATGTGTAAGAGGACTAACAGCACTTTTTGGTAAAGAAAGTGTGACACTTTATATGTGACCCTGGACCACAAAACCAGTCTTAAGTCGCTGGGGTATATTTGTAGCAATAGCCAAAAATACATTGTACGGGTCAAAATTATTGATTTTATGCCAAAAATCATTAGGATATTAAGTTAAGATCATGTTCCATGAAGATATTTGGTCAATTTCCTACTGTAAATATATTAAAACTTAATTTTTGATTGGTAATATGTATTGCTAAAAACTTAATTTGGACAACTTTAAAGGCGATTTTCTCAATATTTAGATTTTTTTGCACCCTCAGATTCCAGATTTTCAAATAGTTGTTTCTCGGCCAAATATTGTCCTATCATAACAAACCATACATCAATGGAAAACTTATTTATTCAGCTTTCAGATGATGTATAAATCTAAATTTCGAAAACATTTACCCTAATGACTGTTTTTGTGGTCCAGGGTCACATATTAAGTAAACAATTCCTATGGATTTACCATGTAATTACTCTGATGTTACACAGCAGCGGCCAGTAAATTAGGCTTTACATATAAATTGTGGTTGGTGTCCAGAATGTTACACTTTATGTTAAGTGGACAGTTCCTGAGGCGTTACCATGCAAGTACACTGGTATTACAGTGGCGCACCAACTCCACCCAAACTGAGATCCAAATCCTCCCACTTTACATATCCCTAAACCTACCAATCTCCACCCCCTGGATCAAATTGTTCCAATTACTCTTATACATATTGTTGTTACAAAATGTAGTTATATATGTACTGTTACACATTTGTACTTACACAAACCATTCGGAGGGTTGTTACATGTGTGTAGTTACAGAAACAGTGGCGCACCAACTCCACCAACCTGAGATCCAAATCCTCCCACTTTACATATCCCTAAACCTACCAATCTCCACCCCCTGGATCAAATTGTTCCAATTACTCTTATACATATTGTTGTTACAAAATGTAGTTGTATATGTACTGTTACACATTTGTACTTACACAAACCATTCGGAGGGTTGTTACATGTGTGTAGTTACAGAAATATTACAGCTCTAGATACTATGTACCAATGTGTACTTACAGTGTGGTTACATACTATGTACACATCTAGTTACTATGTAAGTACACAGGTATTAGGGCCACTTAATATAAAGTGGGACCACTTTCTTAATACTCGTTATCCCAATTGTGACTGATTAATCAGTGCACATTATTGCAAATTAAAAAGTTTTGCCAAAAAAAAAAAATCATCATATTCCATCCTCAAAATACAATTCAGTTCTGAAACTACATTATTTTCCTTCTATTATCACAAATTTCTATTACTTCTCAACCTCTTCCCTCCTGTCACCTGGCTCTATTTTGATATGTAACACTCCAGTCCCACCCTACATTTTTGCATCTGTATTATTTTGAATTTAATTAAATCGCAAAAGTAAAATGAGTTGCGAAAGGTATTTCATGTTGCCTTTAAACAGAAACCAACTGGTTAAAAATATCCTGCAAACAGTATCTCTCTCTCACCCAGACTCTTATTTTGGCAACACTGTTATAGCAAACACACTTTTTAACACTTCTGTTTCTCTTCACTGTGTTTCTTTTTCTTCCTTAATTTTGAATGAAAGCACTTTGTTAAGACAAACTAAAACCCTCAGCTCATCCCACAGGGAACATAAACACCACAGACATTGGGATACATTTTTCCTGAATTATTCTGATTAGTAATCAATCAAGATTTTTTAATGACTGATTGTCCCTGCAATACTGAACTTTTGGAATGAGAGTGGAACGGCATGCTAGGAGTTTACAGAAACATAGCAAACATAACCCCCCACTAGCATTTATCTACTGCATCTATATAAAGCGAGTGACATCAGCATTTACTCTGTCCAATTCTGAGTTACTTCATTTAACTCACAAAGATCCATCCCAGACTCTATGGTAATGTTAACCCAATTCTGCTGATGCATGTAAACACAGACTCAACCGTACCATGTGAGGATCAATTCAGCAGCAATTACTCAAACTTCTAGACTTTGATGCATGCAGATGAGCGGGATATGAATGGATCTGAAGTCATCTATGTGAAATGGACTGCAAAGAAGAAAAAAAAACAAACAATGCAGACAGGCCGTATATATTTAGTCTCTGCCGGGCTGGGTGGCGTCACTTAAGACCGAAAGTATCACTTGTAATCTTGGCTTTGCTTTGATCTTACACAACTTGTTTTCTGAAACAGGTATATTTGACTCTTAATTCTGATTGGATGAGCTGCTTTTGAAAGCAATTGCATTAATGCAGCACCAGGTTTCTACATTGCTTGGCAACAGTAAACAGCCTACACTAATGAATATTACTTGCTAGAAAAATAATTAAGATTAATATAGAGCATTCCCAGGGAATGCATGAACTGATGAAATGCATACAGCATCTTGAATGCAATGCAAGTTGCACTGGATGAAAGCAGCTGCCAAATGCATAAATGTAAATATTAACATTATTAATTATACATATTAGTTTACAATAACTGCACATTGTAACGCATATGCACGCACGCACGCACGCACGCACGCACGCACACACACACACACACACACACATATTCAAAATTAAATCAAATTCAACATGAATGCAATTTGCAACCCATTTTCTCTTCCTTTATATTACATATTTCTATGTAAGACTTTGGAAAATGTAGGACAGGTCTTCAATTTATACATTAGAAATTGGCTGGATTGTGAAAACTGAGAATTATATATGAGAATGACAGGTAATTGGAGGAATTTGTGATGTCAGCCAAATAGGAAAGTCATTATGAAGTCAAACTTTTTTTTATTTCTAGTAATTGCAGTGATGCATCAAGAACAATTAGACCAGATACATGCATTAAAGTGTAAATATCAGAGTAAATATTGACCTCACGCTGACTTTAAACTCCATCTCGCCCTAAATGAGCACTACATAAGGAGAATGATTCTGCATTGTTTTTTAAACAAAATCGGACTCGATCCAAGGACAGGAAGCCCCTCATCACATGTTGATGTTACCATAGTGACAAATGGTCTCTTCTGAGGAGCTCAGAAGATGCAGATGCCAGTAAATCACTAATGTTGACTTGGGCTCGTACCCACACATATACACAGCGACCACAGAAAGGCCGAGAGTGCCCTGGCTCCAGAAGTTGACTGGTTTGTGAGTTCCAGTAAAGGTTGGTCTAGCTGGTTCCTCCCTTGCGCCCTGCGCTGAGAGAGCGCTTATGGTGCTAATGCTTGTGGTGAGCAGGCCATTATGATCCAAACCCATCAGAACTGCTCCAAAAAGACTGCGGCATTAAAAAACAAACATCTAATAGAAGACAAATGTGCAGGTAACTTATGCTCCGAGTTTGCAGAAGACAGATTTGTACATTGAATACCATGATCTAGATTTCATGGTATCTATGTAAGGCCATAAAGGCTCAACGTCAAACTTATAAACATAGAATTCCCTTTACAAAGCAAAACAAGCATAAACTGACAGGTTGCACTTTATAAAGTGTTAGATAATAGTTCTTAAGGGAGTTTGTAGTCCACACACAACACGTCAAACCCAAGTATGCAATGTGTCACATTCATAACTGCTAAACTGCCACAGACACACAGCAAACTAGAGCAGATACACGCTTATAAACGTTCAACTACCAAAACTACGCCTGACAGCTTTCTGGTCACCACAACGGCGGAGGAGGAGGGAAGGGAATGCCACGACGGGTGACTTACCTCGCAGTAAACTGGGCGAGTAGCTGGAGAATGTGTCGAAGATGCTGTTTGAAGCCATGTGTCCCGCTCAGGAGGGAAAAGAACTGGCCTCTCCGCCGCCTTACCGACTTCAGCCTGAGAGAATGACAGTCGGAGAAAGAGAAATAGAGAAACTACATAGACTGTCTGCAACCAAGAATTTGGGGTTTGAGAGTGCCACAAGAATCTTTCGCCACAAGCCGACTAACAGAACAGCATATGTGCCGTGTGGTGAGAGCGAGCAAGAGTGAGAGATAAAGAGAGGGAGAGAGAAAGACCAAGCCACTCTGAGCAATGGACTCACTTTTGACGATGGACACTTTTGTCTGTCTAGTGATGGTTGTTGTAGTATCTACGTGGTTTTAGTCAGGTAGTTGAAAGTTCAGGTGTCTGACGCTCTCGCAATGGTGATCTCCGTGGTAACGGCCTGTCAGTCGCATGTCTGAGGTATCCGAGGTCACAGCTCCCGCGGTAGGGCTGCTGCACGGCAATCCCATGATCTGATTGGTGGACCTCAAGTCACATGACTCTCTCTCTCTCTCACTTGCATGCAGTGAAGTTCTCTTTTCTTTCCCAGTGTGTTTCACACCAATCTGATTGGCTGATGGGTGTTTTTTGAATGGTTTCTCAGAGGACGAGACCTTCGAGATGAGGGATCACAAAGTTTAGATGTGACACAAACTCTCAAGTGAAAGAAACTGCAGAAAATGCAGGATGTAAAAGGATTATTAGGGAAAAGAGACTGCGAGACTGTGTGTGCGCGAGTTTTTGGTGGTTTTGAGCCTGTTAAACCACCTTTCCACCCTCACTTACCACTTGATAGCATCTCAATGTTAGCCTCATTAAAAACAGCCAAGCCAGTCATTTCATTAGGCCTCCCGCTCGCTTTTTACCCTCATTTGTTCCCAATACTATGTGCTTTATGAAGTTGACATGGCTGTGGGCGGCCTACTTTTTATTTCCGAAATATTTGTGGTATTTCACACACCTTTCGTGTATGGCCTGATTTCAGTTGCCCTGTTAAAACAAACATGTGAATCTTTTTATCTACACCGTTTAACTGTGCATGTCGGTATGCATATGTGTGCATGTGAAATCTGTCACCAGTTTTGATTCACCATTCCAACTATAAGACAGCAAAGAAAAACTAAGGTGTTCAGGATGGTTGCCATGGCATTGTTAGCTGGTTGCTAAGGCTTTTCTACAATAGGTGGTTGCCAAGCTGTTTTGGCTGGTTGCTAGGGCTTTACTACATACTTGCTGGATATTGTAAAGCAGTTGTTCTGGGATGGATGGATGGATGGATGGATGGATGGATGGATGATAGATAGATAGATAGATAGATAGATAGATAGATAGATAGATAGATAGATATGTGTGAGTGTGATAGAGTTTATGTTGTAACATGCCACTTTGCAGCCACAGTGCCATGAAAATGAGCACTTGTGTGCTGGTCAGCCGGCAGCACAGGGAAAATGACACAGTGGATGCGTGTGTGCGTGAGGCAAATAACACACTTCCAGGGAGTGTGGCCTATGGTGAGGCCACAGAATGACTTCAGGGCTTTTATCAACCTTATTCCAACCTCACAAAGCTTCCCCTGAGAGAATCACCCAGCTCGAGTAGTGTGTGTTTGTGTGCACCTGCTTTAACGTCATTGTCACGATGAAGAGAAAGCGCTGTAGGGAGGAACTTGAATTTTATTCATTGGGAATTGATTGGATTTATGTGGGGATTCGATACCAAAACAGTATATGAGGCTTTCTTTTGTTTGAGGAAGTGCAGGCTGCAGGTCAAATTCACCCTTGAGAGCATCTTGATGCATTCAATCTACTGTTTTTGCTACCGCTGCTGTAATGTTACACATTATTGACTATTGGCAAAATTGTATAAAGACTGCATTACCTACAACAGTAGCCTCTGCAACATTTTTTTTATTTAGAATTGTGTGCATAGATGAAACATAGCATAAGACATTAAATAGTTTCAATGTCAAGTCTAACAGTAATATTCAGTTCTTTTGTTTGAGGAAGTGCAGGCTGCAGGTCAAATTCACCCTTGAGAGCATCTTGATGCATTCAATCTACTGTTATTTGCTACCGCTGCTGTAATGTTACACATTATTGACTATTGGCAAAATTGTATAAAGACTGCATTACCTACAACAGTAGCCTCTGCAACATTTTTTTTATTTAGAATTGTGTGCATAGATGAAACATAGCATAAGACATTAAATAGTTTCAATGTCAAGTCTAACAGTAATATTCAGATTTTATGCACATTATAACTCTGTATAAATTTAGCAAGTACACAAGTGCGTGTATTCCCGAAGAGGGTATCAGACATTGAGGATGGGGCCATCCACAGCTTCTTTCCACAGACTCAAACACCATCTGCTCTGTGTTTTGGGAAAAGTTTCTTAGCAGCGTCGTTCACTAACCACAAGCAAAACTGGTAGAAGCAGCACTGCAGTGACTGCATATCTGGACAGATATGTTTTTTTCTTCCTCTCTCTCTTGTTTATCAAGCCCGTGTATTTAAGTTTAATATAACTGCAGTGTTTTGCTGAGAGACCTGCGGTGGGCTGAACACTGCCAATGTCCCTCCACCCCACGGGTGGGGCAGAGCGGGGTGGTGGCTAGAGCGTGTGGTCGCGAGCGCAGATGTGCAGGGGCTTATTTTGTGGTGTATAAATTGCAGGCTGCCCCATGTGCAACTCATAAAGGGGGAACACAGCAAAGGACAGAAGGAAAAATACAGTGATGAGGTGGCCATCTTCACTTCAAATGCATTTTCGGACCAAAAGTGAACGCCCAGAGTCTAAATCTGGCTATGAACATTAAGGGGGATCGAGGCTTTTGGATGGGAGGATGAGAAACGAACTACAGTCATCCATTTTGATTTCATGAATCCCAGAATCATACTGCTTATATCAACACTGACCCATTAAAACAACATTGACTTAAAGGAATAGCTCACCTAAAAATGAAAATTTGCTGAGAATTTAGTCACCCTCAGGTGATCCAAGATGTAGATGAGTTTGTTTCTTCATCAGAACAGATTTGGAGAAATGCAGCATTACATCACTTGCTCACCAATAGATCCTCTGCAGTGAATGGGTGCCGTCAGAATGAGAGTCCAAACAGCTGATAAAAACATCCCAGTAATCCACACAACTTCATCAATTAACATCTTGTGAAGCAAAAAGCTGTTTGTAATAAATTCATCAAGATGTTTTTAACTTCAAACCTTTGCTTCCTTCAAACCTAAAATACAAGTTCTCTATACATAATATTGGTTTCTCCAGACAAAAAAGTTTAGTCTGAATCAGGAGAGAAATCTGCACAGATCAAGCCCTGTTTACAAGCGTGAACAGTCCAACACAGTTCTAAACCAATATATTGGTAAATTTTGATGTGAGAGTACAATAGGCAATTAACTTTTTCACTGGAGGAAGTGTTATTATGGATTATGGACTCATATTTTAACCAGAAGGAACAGTTTAACCTTAAAGTCGGCATGAAACGGAAGTTGCGATTGTCTTTTCTTCTCTACAGTGAGACGTATATCCGAGTGAAACGGCATCTGAAATGAGAGGGCGGGACTTGATTTCGTCCTTCGGGAATTGATTGGATCGTTGGAAGGTGGGGTGTTTGGAGGCAGATCTGAATGCCAGTTTGCAATTAGCGGTGGGGGATTTCTCTCCACTGGATTCACAGCCGACACCCAAGCATGAATAAATGTTTTATTTATTAAGGATGACGACGACGATCAACGGCACAAAACATGCCTAAACAGTGCACGCGCGAGAGAGAGAGAGAGAGAGAGAGAGAGAGAGAGAGAGAGAGAGACTGCCTGAATGACTGAGCGTGTCCTCCATCAGGTTAAGTCATATTCATGAAAAAAATTAGTTTGCGATGTCCTAAGAGTAATGTTGTCATAATATCCTAATATCTTTTCAATGTTTAGGGGTAACGTACTCCCTCATGACTGGTGTCAGTGCTATAGTGAAGCATGAGCTTCAGCTTTTCCCCCTGTCGTTTATCCCAGCGTTTACCCCTCACATCACTAGTGCCGCCCTTGTGCCATAGCTCGTGACCGGAAGAGAAGATGAGTCGTTTTGAGGGGGAGGGGAGGTTAACGCTTTTGATAAAAAATTACAAGGGCACATGAATTAAAAAAAAATAATGAAATACATGGATAAAATATTTACTATAAACACTACAGTATTCCATTAAATAATACGAATTTTTAATTTTGATTTCATGGAGACTTTAAGGCCGCGTGTCCACCAAAGTGTTTTAGCCAGCTGAAAATGCCAGACGCTCTGCTGAAAACGGCCAGCTGTGAGCTCTTGAGATTTGAGATGCTGTGGTTGCTATGATACGGAATATCCCCTGAAGTAATATGGCAGACGCCTCGCGAATGAAATGTTTCTCCAAACCTTATTTTTCATAACAATAATATGGTAGTCCGGCAATTCCATCTGGTAAAGACATAAATACTCGGAGTCAAGCAATAACTTCTCCATTGTTGTTCAGTTCAGTCATAGTAAAAACAGGGTGTGACAGTTGGTCTGTATTAGTACCGCCCCTCCTCCACTCTGATTGGTCAGCTGACTAAAAAGTGACAGTGATGAGCACTGCGTTTTACCCAAAGTTGAACATTCTTCAAATCTCGGCGCAGAGAAAAAAACGGCACGCAGCGCTCCCATTGAATACAATTGAAAAAAATACACTAGCCTCGGGAAAAAACGCTTTGGTGGACACGGGGCTTAAACGCCTTAATGATGAATTTGTTTCATGCAGACATGCAGCTTTTCACCTCACAGGTTGTTAACTGATGGACTGGAGTGATGTGGATTACTTGTGGATGTTTTTAGTTTGAACACTCATTCTGACGGCACCCATTCACTGCAGAGGATCCATTGTTGAGGAAGTTATGCAATGCTAAATTTCTCCAAATCTGTTATGATGAAGAAGGAAACTCATCTACATCTTGGATCACCTGAGGGGGAGTAAATCTTCAGCAAATGTCCATTTTTAGGTGAACTATTCCTTTAATCAATCGTGTGACTTTGGGACAGGATTGTCTGTTTGCCCATCCAATGGAAACCTGATCCTGGGAAACAATAATTAATTGAGCAATTGTGTTTCGTGACACTAGTGTTGCTAAAATTATTTCATCTTTAACTTTCTTAATAAATTTCATATTTTCTATATAAAAAAAAAACCTCAAACTGAATCATGCTGGGAAAAAAATCCATATATTATTTAAAGGTGCCATAGAATGCATTGATACAATATTTTAAATTGTTCTCTGATATCTACATAGAAGGTATGTGGCTTAGGTAAGGGCCAAAATGG